AACCTGAACATCTATAGATTTCTTCCATCGAGTCACAAGGTTATTTATGCCTTTACTATAAAACTCTAATGGTTTGGACGCCAAAAATCTTTGAATGCAGTTTCTGCATTTTCTTTACGACGGAATGTCTTTTGGCCTAAAAACATTGTCAAGAGGTTCGGCAGTATCATCCTAGCAACATGTGATCGATCATTGTCATAAATCAGATACTGACCTACTAGATTAACCACACCCGGTCGAATTTTGCTTAAGTGAAATTACAATATCTCCGACAGAAGTTAGCGGCGGAGAGTGAGAAGAAAGGACTAAGCATAAACTACAAGAAGACAGAATGCATGATCATCAATAAGAGGATGATCCCGAAATGCGATTTACAGGTCGGGGACACTAGAATCAAGCAGACTCGGAAGTTTAAATATCTGGGAAGAGTCCTGACAGAAGACGGTGACACTGAGATCCGTAGACGTATTAGGATGGCCAAGAACACATACCAAAAGCTAGGGAGTGTTGCGAGGTAGGAGGATTTCTTTGGTAACAAAGAAAACAGTACTAAACTGTTACGTGACATCTTTCCTTCTTTACGGCAACGAATGTTAAACGATTTCCTCAAAGATGAAGAAGAGACTCGAGGCAACAGATGTGGTTCTACAGAAGGATGCTGAGGATATCATGAACTGATCGTGTGAGCAACAATGAGATCTTAGAGAGGATGCAAACAAGGAGGAGGCTTCTACTTAACATCATGAAGAGGCATCTGAAGTTTCTGGGACACATAATGAGGATAAAGGGCCTGGAGAATCTGATACTCACGGGTCGAATAGTGGGAAAGAGAGACAAGGAAAAACAGCGTATGACATACCTAGCGGCCTTAAGCAAATGGATGACAGAACGTGGTCTGGGGGAGGAAGCAGAAGAAAATTGCTGAGACTTGCAAGGTATAGAGGGAGGTGGAGAGCCATGATCGCCTACGTCCTGAAAGGACATGGCGCATAAAAAGAAAAAAGAATCTTTATTTCGTCCAGTTGCTGGCAGTAAACTTCGGTAGTAATGCTATTGTTAGATTCCAGCAAGCCAATGACGAACCATCACCATAATCTCCTGTTGGTGCAATTTCAGTTTTTGAAAAAGTTTGGGTCCTTCGTTATAATCAAGCCATTGAGCCGGTGGTTTACGATTGCCATAAAGGATCCATTTCTCATCTCATGTCACGATGCGATCAAGAAATGGATTCTTCGAATTCAACGTGGGGATTAATAATAATTAGCAAGCTTGCCTCGCTAAATCAACTTCAACTGAATAGTGAGTTCGATCCTCACTGGAGGCCCCATACTTTCAGCCTTGTGCCACAAATCAGCTATGCTTAGCAAATCATGTGAGTTTTAAGGAGAATGAAAGTAAAAATAAGGAAGAGACAGTTGAAATTTCTAGAGCAGATAATGAGGAAAGAAGGCTTGGAAAATTTGATACACACAGAAGAGACTGAAAGCAAAAGCGACACAGATAAAAGGAACCCATAATCTACCTAGCGAACTCAAGTAAGTTGATGGCGGAGCAAGGTTTAGGAGAGATAAAGGACAGGAAATTGTGGAGAGCCATGATCGCCTACGTCTTAAAGTGTTACGGCACTGAGAAGAAGTGTTGAAAGTTAACATCTAGATTATGTCATTGTTTTCTGTTCGAGTTACGTGTTCTATCTTTTTTTAGTTGTTACTCTTGTTGAAAGTGATTCTGTAGCGCCAGACTATAAGTATGAAGAAATTTTGGTAGCAGATTTTCGCATTTAGTATTTGGCAGTGGTTTCGGATATTTATTTTGGGATAAGAATATCGGTTCGGCTATATTTATTTTGTTTTACATCCAGCCAACATTCGGCCTCTCTTTTGTGCAGTTGATGTTAGGTTGTTTGCTTTGGCAGTAACATCTACTTTTACAGTGGCTGCTGACTTGTAAGTGCAAAATGCCGTGGAATATGGATCTTAACAGCGATGCTGGCATGACATAAAATTCCCCGCTGGTAAATCTCCTGGGCATATCACTGAATAAACAAGACGTTCAGTAACCAAGGGAGAGTTACTCAATTTTAATCTGATAAAAAAAAACTGTACATACTAACTTATTATATAATTTATATTTATAGATTTATATAACAGATTACTACATGACTTTATGCATGCATATATATATATATATATATATATATATATATATATATATATATATAGATAGATAGATAGATAGATAGATAGACAAACCTACCCAGGTTTCACCTAAGCGGATCGTCAGGGAAAGCTGGCTCTTTCAGCTTTCCCTGACGATCCGCTTAGGTGAAACCTGGGTAGGTTTGTCTGGCTTACTAGGTTTATCTAGGTCTGCTCTACGGTTGTATTGAGCTCTTTTTGTTAGTTAGTTTTTTTACTCGTGTCGGGGTTTTTTCTTTGGCCTTCAAACCTGTATCTGTACGATTTTTTTCGACAGACTTTCATGTTTCTAGCTCTTTCCCTTTTTAAAAACCTTTTTTTTTCCTTCGATATTGATTTGATTATTGGCAAATCAAAATTCGAAGGTTTTTCGAAACGAGTATAGTTACCTATATATATATATATATATATATATATATATATATATATATATATATATATATATAAAAGTGAACATTGAAGTTAACACTTAGGGGGCGACAGTGTGTTTCGTGCTTGATGCAATCGTCAGGTGGCATGACGATTGAATCTAGCATGAAACAGACTGTCGCCTCAAAGTGTTGACTTCTATGTTCACTTTTTATATTTACACACGCCCATCTCTGATATTGAGCATTTTATCCTATAAATATAGCACACCTTCAGACTATATATATATATATATATATATATCAAACATGTTTCATTGAATAATATAGACATATTGTGTTTGCAAATTTTTATACTGATCATTTACAGTTGTCTACTCAGTTTTTTGGTGTTAAGATGAAATTACTCAAAAAAGGCACCGTAGTTTTTCTAACCCAAATCTTTTCGATCTTTTTAAATATGCATATTTATTAATCATATATATATATATATATATATATATATATATATATATATATATATATATATATATATATATATATTATTAATAGAAATCTTATAAGTATAAGAAACTATACTCGGTCGGAGAAAACCTTCGGTGTCTTGATTTGCAAATAATCAAACCGCCACCAAACGGAAAAAAAAGGTATAAAAAAAGAAAGAACCAAGAATATGTACGTTAGCCGATAATGATCGTCTCGCATGCAAGTCCAAGGCCCAAAGAAAAAAACCTGATGCGAGTACCCAAAATAAATAAATAAAGTGTTCAATACAGTAAGTAGAGCAGGCCTAGTTAAACCTAGAGAGCCAGACAAACCTACCAACCTTCCCTGACGATCCGCTGAGGTGAAACCTTCGTATATATATATATATATATATATATATATATATATAAAACATATCGCACCTTGTGTGGTGGTGATAATAAAATAATGCTGGGTGCATCATAACAGAACTACAACTTTATATTAATAATAAATACATACGAGTTTCATGAAAATAAGTTGTGGCACCAGTGATGAAAAAAATGTATATTTATTACTTAATATATATATATATATGGAGAGAGAGAGAGAGAGAGAGAGACAGACAGACAGACAGACAGACAGACAAAGTGTCTATAAAGTTCGTGTGCACTTTAGAATATTTATAACTTTATTTGTATTTGCGATAGAAATAATTTGTAAAAAGAATTAAAAAGAAGTAAATCGATATTTTCTAAGGTTTTATTGAAATTTTATTTAAGTTTCCACATGTCCTCCATAATTAGCAATACAAAGGATAATACGATTTTGCAGTTCACGGAAAACATTTGCCAACTGATTTACAGTAATGCCTGAAATCACATTAGTTATTTTAGCTATACTTAAAACGAGGTACATTAAACTTTATAACATTTTTTACAGATTATTTCTATCGCAAATACAAATAAAGTTATAAAATTTTTAAGTGCACATGAACGTTATGGACACCTATATATATATATATATATATATATATATATATATATATATATATATATATATATATATATATATATATATCGATTATAGGTGCAATTTAATTTACAATTACATGAATCATTCATACAAAAAACAAATATAGATGTTAATGATTTAAATGGCGAGAATACATCTTCGCCAACAATTTCAATAATATACACTAACCCCGAACCTGTATATGAATAATATGATCCCTGTTTATAAATTCCAGTTGCAAATCTATTTCCATACCTGGGGATGTCTGTAGGAACAGACGAAAGCTTGTAAAAATTAAAAAGACCCTATGCAACTGAAATTTATAAACAGGGATCATATATATATGTTATAGTGGAACACACATATTCTATAGTTAATAGACTCTTCCACCTATAATAAGTAGGAGTAGTAATAGTAACGAGTCAGTCGGCTCAGTGAGTTGGTCAGTCAGTCGCTGCCGGACGACCGTTAGTCGGATACTAAAGTATCAGCGACCACAACTAGATTTCTCTGCGTCATACCGATTATATCAAGTTCCTAATGTTTTGTACGTCGAACCTATTTTAGGACCGACTTAGTACAAATACAAGCCTCCACTGTGAAAATCACCCCATAACAATATATATGTAGTGTGTGTGTGTGTGTGTGTGTGTGTGTGTGAAACAAAAGTAGTTGGACAGTAGATTGAATAGGGTTTGTGTTAGGATTATATTATGACTATGGTGTTTGTGTTCTATTAAATTTTATAACTAAATTTATTTAAATTTAATTTTTTTTTTAATTTTCAAATAGTTCAAAGAACTCATAATGGCAAACAATTTAAATACTGATGCAATAAAATAGGTGTTAAAAAGTATTTGAAGTCTCGAAATTCTGTAAGAACCAAATGGGTTGAAACATTTGATACTCAAGCTCCTAAGAGACAAAACCATTAACTGCACTCCTGACAAATTTGATGCCACTGGTTCAATTCTTAATGCCGCCAAAACTGTTCGACTCAAAACAGTTTACACAGAAGACCACCAGCAACTTGTTGCTGAAGCATTTTTTTACAGTCCCAAAAAGTCCACCAGAAGACGCTTAACAGAATTGAATATTTCACAAACCTCTATCATTGGAATTCTCAACTCTATTGGCTTGAAAGCTTACCGTTCACGGCTAATTTAGGGCTGATTAGAGGATAACTCAGACAGGAGGCTGCAATTTATCTATCTCAGCGTGCGCATTATCTATCTATCTATCTATCTATCTATCTATCTATCACAGCGTATTCATTATCTATCTATCTATCCTTCATCTCTTTATCATCTCTCTCAGCGTATTCATTATCTATCTATCTATCTATCTATCTATCTATCTATCTATCTATCTATCTATTTCGGCGTATTCATTATCTATCTATCCTTCGTCCCTTTATCTATCTATCTATCTATCTATCTATCTATCTATCTATCTCAGCATATTCATTATGTATGTATGTATCTATCTATCTCAGCGTATTCATTATCTATCTATCTATCTTTCGTCTCTTTAACATCTATCTATATATCTATCACAGCATTCTCATTATATATCTATCTTAGCGTATTTATTATCTATCTATCTATCTATCTATCTATCCTTCATCTCTTTAACATATATCTCGACGTATTCATTATCTGTCTATCTCTCTTTCGTCTCTTTAACATCTATCTATCTATCTATCTATCTATTTCCATCTATCTATCTCAGCGTATTCATTATCTATCTATCTATCTATTTATCTATCTTTCGTCTCTTTAACATCTATATATATATCTATCGGATTCTTTTCATTATCTATCATATATATATATATATATATATATATATATATATATATATATATATATAGAGAGAGAGAGAGAGAGAGAGAGAGAGAAAAGAAAGTAACAAAACACAAAATAAACTTATTTATATATTTAATGGCGAGTCTGAACTTTTCGATAAAATTCAATTGGCATCTCATCTTGAAAATGACATTCTATCTGTTGTTAACTGGGGCAAGAAATGGTTTGTTCATTTAAACGCCCCCAAAACTAGACTGCTCTCTTTTAATCGACTCAGATAAGCTTTTCTTTCGTTTTACATCAGTATGACTGATGCTAACCTCCCGGGCTCTCTTGGACTAACGTTTTCCACTGATATTAAGTGGAACGATTATATCAACGTCTGCTGCTAGGAAAGTTGGTTCACGGCTGTACTAGACATTTTTTTTCTCGCCAGAATCAATCTTTTACCTTTACAAGTCTAACTGAAAATCACTTCCACATCTAGTCTGGTGTTTTTGCTATGTATCTAGAGATTCTTGACAAAACCTTTAAAGGAATCTGCAATGTTATCGTTCCTGGCTTTGTATCTCGGCTTCAGTCACTTTCCCAGCACTGTAACATTGGTTTTTCTCTAATTATTTTCATTTTAATTATTATGATTAATTTTACTCTCGGGTGCCGCGACTTCACGAATTCAGCAGGGTCTGAAAATGTTGAAATTGCTAAGTGTAACCGTAAGTTCTATCGTATTAGTTTCTTCTCTCGCACTTCCTGCCTGTGGAACCATCTTTCGACTTATTGCTTTCCTGTTAATTCAGTTAAGTGCCATACGTGATAAAACGCTTGAGCGATCATAATTTTTTTCGATTCATGACTAACTGGACAGAAGATTTTCCCTCAGACGGTTGCCGTTTCTTTTCTGCGATAGACTGGCTGCCAGCCAAGGCTATAGAAACCCAATCAATCCTGCTATTAAAATCCATAGCTAGGGAAGAAGAAATGGATTTGTAACTTTCCAAATAGTATTTGTGCGTATGGAGAGAGAAGGGAGATCACCGCCCTCTGCGGGATCAGGTTGAGATCATAGACAAAGAACACCATTAGAAAATTTGTAAACTTAAGGGATCAGCACATATGCTAGGCCATAAAAATCTCATGCGCCGACCAAGTATAGAAATGAATATAATATGGGAACCAGCAATAAGGAGTGCCAGAGAAAAGCGATAACAATAACAAAAATTGCAATATGAGCTCTGGTAAAAACATGGAATTATAACAGCAAAAATTGCAATATGAGCACTGGTAAAAATGGTTGCTGAAGACATTAGGTTTATGATATAATGGAACATGCGTACACCTTTGTTCCCCCTCACTGGAATATGATTGGCTGGTGTCCGTCATAAATACCGACGGACGTGTACGACAGTCAAGAGCCTTAGTCTGAGAGCTAAGTCTTTAACGACGCCCATTGGACTACGCCATTGATCTACACTTCTTACCTGCGACTACGGCGCGTACCAGCTGATTACTGCTACCATATTCTACTTTGTTATAGTAGCCAAAACCACTTAGCTACTTCGTTCAAATATATCCCTTTCCGGGACATATAAGTTTATAATACCCAGAAACTCATACACAGATGTCCTCAAGTGAATAAAGGCGTTAGTTAGATCCAGTGACAGGACCCAAAGAGTGTGAGCTCAATACCAGGCTAAGGCAGTGGAGAATTTGGAGAGGGGAATTAACAGGAGATAACTGACATCCATTAAACATGGCACATGGAACTAGAAGAGTCTACCCCAGTGAGCGAAATAAAGGGTTCAGTTCGACATTCCAACCACCTGAAAAAGGCCGGAGCGTACAACGGCCGAAACGTTGTAATAAATATGGTGACAAAGATGGGGACAATAGTCCGAATAATGTAAATAATATAAATAATGAATGTAATGAACCCGACTGGAATTCGAACTCGGTTCTTCAATTTCTCATTCCGAGCCAAGTCCATTATATTGCAACGTTAAGTACGAGATTCAAATTTTTAACGCAGCGTCCATCGTCTGAGTTTCTGAATTCTATCCATTTATTGCCCTTTCTCCTTATTAACATTTTCTGGGGGAGGGTTTCTCTCCCAATAACTTAGTGGCTTTATCTCCTTTCTTGTAATGAAACGATTAAAGTTAGACAAATCTAACCTTAAACCCAACCGCAAATTGCGTCATACAAGTTGAGTTTTCGAGCCTAAAAAATATTTCTAAACTTAAGGTTTGACATATCGCAGTTAGGAAATGTAACCATTTACCACCAATTTTCAGTTGATCCAGTAATGTTGAGCCGATCAAAATTGTTGCCTGGGTATCGAAATATCTAAAATGAATTTTTAAAAAAAGATGTAATCTTCAGTTGATCCAGTAATGTTGAGCCGATCAAAATTGTTGCCTGGGTTTCGAAATATCTAAAATGAATTTTTAAAAAAAGATGTAATCTTCAGTTGATCCAGTAATGTTGAGCCGATCAAAATTGTTGCCTGGGTTTCGAAATATCTAAAATGGATGCAATCACAGAAATTCATTATGTCTGGTTGAAAGGAAAGTTCTCGTGGTTTCTAAATGACAATATTTATTTTAATAAACAGTGACAACTTCACTTTTCACCATATAAAAAAAATTTATAAGCAGTTTAAAATTTTATTCGATTGTTTTTTAAAAATATAAAATCTTTATGTATTTAATACTCATTCTGGTGTTTGAAATGTCGTCGTTATTTAATAATGTCATTTTATTAATCGAGGCAAAGAATTTAATCAAAAATCGTTAATTAATTTTAATGTATTTTTGTTAATGAAATTTCTAATGAGAATGCACAGATTTTTCAGGTATGGAAGCCTCGATAGGCAAAACGAGATCACTCGTTATCTCAACATTTCTATCTTTGTCAGTATGATTGTTAAGAGGTTAACTGACTGGTTCAAGCTCTTTCGGTTTGTTACCAAGTTTGGAGAGATACTTGACATTTTATGTCCAGATTTTCCATGCTTAGAATATTCTTGCCACATAGGGTCCGGTGACTCTGTTATTTACCATTAGCTCCTTGACAGGATCCAAAGAAGAATCAGCAATAAGATTGGTTCTATCCACATTATAATTTCTTGTATGTTAATGAAATTCTGATTAGGTAAGAAGCAGCCTCTTCTCCCCAGCTATGGATTAATTAGTAATACTTATATCACTAAACAATTATCACTCCCATCAAAAAATATAGAACCTAAAATTAAATTCTACCATTACATTTACAATTACTCACTAAGCTATATGTACTTAAAGTGAGAGGTCAGTTTATATATTGATTGTAATATAAAATTGATCCCTCACTTTATATACGCATTATAATTTCTTGTTTGTCTATCAGATTCTGATTAGATATGAAGTCGCCTCTTCTCCCCAGATATGGGTTAATTAGTAATACTTATATCACTAAACAATTATTACTCCCATCAAAAAAAAAAAAAAATAGAACCTAAAATTAAATTCTACCATTACATTTACAATTACTCACTAAGCTATATGTACATAAAGTGAGTGGTCAGTTTATATATTGATTGTAATATAAAATTGATCCCTCACTTTATATACACATTATAATTTCTTGTTTGTATTATCAGATTCTGATTAGATATAAAGTCGCCTCTTCTCCCCAGATATGGGTTAATTAGTAATATTTATATCACTAAACAAATTATCCCATCAAAAAAAAAAAAAAATAGAACCTAAAATTAAATTCTACCATTACATTTACAATTACTCACTAAGCTATATGTACATAAAGTGAGTGGTCAGTTTATATATTGATTGTAATATAAAATTGATCCCTCACTTTATATACGTATTATAATTTCTTGTTTGTCTATCAGATTCTGATTAGATATGAAGTCGCCTCTTCTCCCCAGATATGGGTTAATTAGTAATATTTATATTACTAAACAATTATTACTCCCATCAAAAAAAATATAGAACCTAAAATTAAATTCTACTATTACATTTACAATTACTCACTAAGCTATATGTACATAAAGTGAGAGGTCAGTTTATATATTGCTTGTAATATAAAATTGATATCTCACTTTATATCCGCATTTTAATTTCTTCCCTGTCTATCAGATTCTGATTAGATATGACGTCGCTTCTTCTCTCCAGATTGGGTTAATTAGTAATACTTATATCATTAGACAGTTATTACGCCAATCAAAAAGAATTCTAGAACCTAAAAAGAAATTTTGCAATTACCTTTACTCACCACCTGTAAAAATTCCGTGTCTACGAGGAGAAATGGTATGTGAGAAATATTCCAAGAGAAAACGAAATCAACAAACGGAATCAATATACACAGACTGCATTCTTAAAATATCTGAGACATACAAGTTTGCGTGTAGGTTTTGCTGCTGGACAGACATCCGAAAACAATTAGTTGGGATATTATTTAAACTTATTCACGTTCCACGATTATTTGTATCAAATACATCAAATACACTGCAAGCGAATTCCTTAATTGTTGGTTCTGCTTGTACAAGTCAATAAAAACCTTTCGTAGAGAACCACACCCTTTTTACAGACAAACATGTTATGTGTTATACCGGATTGGTGAGACTAGTTAATAGAGAAAGGAATCAAGTAAAGAAACGTTTATTTATGGATTTTGGGGACTTCAACTTGGTGTGATGTTAACAAGCTTGTCTCGCTAGATCTGTTACATCTTGTGTTACATCTAGTGAGTTCAATCTTCACTGGGTGCCCTATACTTTCGGCTACGCTTAGGGTGCCTCATACTTTGAGCCTTGTGTTACATCTAAGCTATGGTTAGGTTGCCCCATACTTTCGGCCTTGTACCACACCTAAGCTTCGCTTAGAAAATCATTTCGGCGCTTAAAAGTGATGTAATGGTTAGCAGGCTTTTCTCGCTAGATCAGTTACGACTGAATAGTGACTTCGATCCTCACTG